AAGGAAATTGACCAATATTTGGAATCACACCATCTTCCTAGATTTACTCAGGAAGAAGTGGAAATGTTGAAAATGTCTATATCTAGTTCTGAAATAGAATCAACTATACAAAATCTCCCTAAAAAGAAAAGCCCGGGACCAAATGGCTTCACATCAGAATTCTATCAAACCTTTAAAGAGGAACTAGTACCTATATTACTCAACTACATCCAAAATATAGAAAAAGAAGGGATACCACCCAACACAATGTATGAAGTGAACATCACCTTGATCCTAAAATCAAGGAAATATCTAACAAGAAAAGAAAATTACAGGACAATATCTCTAATGAATATTGATGCAAAAATATTTAATAATATCCTAGCAAACACAATCCAGCAACACATCACACAAATTATACACCATGACAAAGTGGGTTTTATCTCAGATTCTCAAGAATGGTTCAATATATGTAAATCTATAAATATAATACACCACATACACAAATCAAAAACAAAGACCACATGATCCTCTCAATTGATGCAGAAAAAGCTTTTGATAATATCCAGCATCCATTCATGATCAGAACACTTAAGAAAATAGGTATAGAAGGGACATTTCTTAAACTAATAGAGGCCATCTACAGCAAACCCACAGCCAATATCATATTGAATGGAGTTAAGTTGAAATCATTTCCACTCAGATCAGGAACCAGGCAAGCTTGCCCATTGTCTCCATTGCTCTTTAACATTGTAATAGAAGTTTTAGCCATCACAATCAGGGAAGAAAAAACAATCAAGGGTATCCACATAGGGTCAGAAGAGATTAAACTTTCACTTTTTGCAGATGATATGATTGTATACCTGGAAAACACCAAGGATTCTACAACAAAACTCTTACAAGTGATCAAGGAACACAGCAGCATCTCAGGTTACAAAACAAATACTCATAAATTGGTAGCCTTTATATATACCAACAGTAGCCAAGCTGAAAAGACAGTCAAGGACTCTATCCTGTTCACAGTGGTGCCAAAGAATATGAAATATTTGGGAGTTTACCTAACAAAGGATGTGAAAGATCTCTATAAAAAGAACTACGAAACTCTAAGAAAAGAAATAGCTGAAAATATTAATAAATGGAAAAACATATCATGCTTATGGCTGGGAAGAATCAACATTGTTAAAATGTCCATACTACTGAGGCGCAATATACAATTTTAATTCAATCCCTATTGAAGCTCCACAGTCATAGTTTAAAGATCTTGAAAAAATAATACTTCATTTTATATGGAATCAGAAAAAAACCTCGAATAGCCATGATGTTACTCAGAAATAAAAACAAAGCAGGAGGAATCATGCTATCAGACCTCAGACTACACTATAAATCAATAGTGATCAAAAGGTACAAAAACAGACAAGTAGATGTTGGAACAGAATAGAGAGCCAAGAGATGAATCCAGGTAATTGATCTTTGACAAGCCAATTAAAAACATTGAGTGGCAAAAAGATTCCCTATTTAACAAATGGTGCTGGGTGAACTGATTGGCTACCTGTAGAAGACTGAAACCCGACCCACACCTTTCACCATTAACTAAGATAGATTCTCACTGGATTAAAGATTTAAACTTAAGACATAAAAATATAAAACTACTACAAGAAAGTGTAGGGAAAACACTTGAAGGAATCAGCCTGGGTGAAAATTTTATGAAGCGGACCCCTCAGGCAATTGAAGCAACATCAAAAATATACTACTGGGACCTGATCAAACTAAAACTCTTCTGCACAGCCAAGAACACAGTAAGTAAACCAAGCAGACAGCCCTCGCAGTGGGACAAAATATTTGCTGGTTATGTCTCTGACAATGGTTTAATAACCAGAATCCATAGAGAACTTAAATGTATTAGCAAGAAGAAAATGAGTGATCCCATCTCAGGGTAGGCAAGGGACTTGAAGAGAAATTTCTCTAAAGAAGATCGGCACATGGCCTACAGATATATGAAAAAATTCTCACCATCCTTAATCATCAGAGGAATGCAAATCAAAACTACTTTGAGATATCACCTAACTCCAGTAAGATTAGCCCATATCACAAAATCCCAAAACGAGAGATTTTGGCGTGGATGTGGAGAAAAGGGAACACTTCTACACTGCTGGTGAGATTGCAAACTAATATGTTCCTTTTGGAAAGACGTCTAGAGAACACTTAGGGAACTAAAAATAGACCTACCATTTGATCCTACAATTCCTTTATTAGGTATATACACAGAAGACCAAAAATCACATTACAACAAAGATATTTTTATCAGGATATTTATTGGAGCCCAATTCATAATTGCTAGGTCATGGAAGAAGCTCAAGTGCCCATCAATCCATGAATGGATCAATAAATTGTGGTACATGTACACCATGGAATATTATGCATCCCTAAAGAAAGATAGAGACTTTACCTCCTTCATGTTTACATGGATGGAGCTGGAAAATGTTCTTCTTAGCAAAGTATCACAAGAATGGAAGAAAAAGTATCTAATGTATACAGCCCTATTATAAAACTAATTTATAGCTGTCATATGAAATCTATAACCTAATTATAGCCTAAGAATATGGGGAGGGGGAGAGAGGGGGGAGGGAGGTATGGGTGGAGGGAGGGTGATTGGAGGGATCACTTCTATGGTTTGTCTTACAAGGGTACAAGTGAATCTTTCTAAGAGTAGAATATAAACGTCTTAACACAATAACTAAGAAAATGACATAAAGGTTATGTTAACCAGTTTGATGAAAATATTTGAAATTGTAAAAGAAAACACTACACTGTACCACATGATTGCATTAATGTACACAGCTATCATTTAATTAAAAATTAATTAATTTATTAATTAAAGAATAAAATAAAATATTCTTCTTCATGGTTAGAGAATAAAAGAAACTAGTTTATAGCTTTCATATGAAAGCTATGACCTAATTATAGTTTAAGAGTAGGGGATGGGGGAGGGAAGGGGAGGAGGGTAGATGGGTGGAGGGAGGGTGATTGGTGGGATCATCTCTATGGTTTATCTTACAAGGTTACAAGTGAATCTTTCTGAAAGTAGAATATAAACGACTTAACACAATAACTAAGAAAATGACATGAAGGTTATGTTAATCAGTTTGATGAAAATATTTCAAATTGTATATGAAAACACCACACTGTACTCCATGATTGTATTAATGTACACAGCTATGATTTAATAAAAAAAAATAGCCACATCATACTTTGAAGAACTAGAAAAACTATTTCTCATTTTGTATGGAATCAGGAAAAAAAAAAAAAAGAAAACGTATACCCAAGACAATATTCAGTAATAAAAACAAAGGACCACTTGGGCACCAAACCCAAAGTCTCTTCTCACAGCTACAGCACCTGTCCTGAAAGAGCTGTAGCCCACCACAGCAGGATGACTTGTACTATCTGGGTGGGTGGCATGCTGCTGATTTGGGAGGCAGGTTGCAGGTAGTGTTCCACAGAATTGAGGGGTTTGTGGTGTGCAGTGTCCTGACGGGATAGGAAGGTGAGCTGTGGCATTCTGCCTATATTTTGAACTTTTGTGTTCCAGTGACCTTTTGCTTGATGGAGCATCATGGGTCACATTCTCCAATCCAGACAACAGGAAGCTCACAGGTCGGCAGATGCTCACTGTGATTGGTAGATGTGATTCACATGCCAGGAGAACTATCCAATCACCTTAAGGGTCCCTAAGACTCTCTGACAGGCTACCCTCGCGACTTTTCAGCTGATTAGAGGGCGAGTTGTCCAATGACGTTGAGTAACATGAGTATATAACGATGCCCAACTGCTCAAAGTCGCCATTTTCTTTTCTCTGTGCTTCCCGGCAGCTATCTGTGCCATGACTGAGCCTTCCTCTGGCATGTCTTCAGATACCACCTCCCTTGGTGCCAAGGAGCCACAAGAGGCCAAGACATTGTCAAGCAAGAGGCAGAATCAACCAAGGTCCCACAGTCGCCACCCCAACCAGGCAGGGGACAGCTTTGACACCTGCTTCAACATGGAGGATGTGAACATCATGGATTCATTTGATCACAACATCCTAGAGCGAATCACCCAGGAGGCCTGCCACTTGGACTACTACACCACATGCTCAGCTATAACCTCAAAAGAGATCCAGTCCGCCCTGGGCCTGAGGCTGTCCTTGCACATTGGCAAACATGCTGTGTCCAAGGCCAACAAAGCCTTCACCAGACACAACACCCGCAAGTGAGCTGTCGGAGGAATGCATGAGCACTAAGACCCAAAGGCTCTTTTCAGAGCCACGCACTGTTTTCCTGAAAGAGCTGTAGCCCACCACGAGGGGAGGGGGCACAGAGTTGAGTTTGGGACCAGTTAGCAAGTGAGGTCCTCCCAATTTGGGGACCATGGGTCTAGTGCCATCCTGTTCATGTATGATTGAAGTGTCAAGTGATACTTCGAGTGTAATACAGCAACAGATAAAGTGCACAAGCAGATACAGAAGTCAAGCTATCCTAACCACATGTTTCCCCACATATCCCCACATGTTTGAAATTCTTTTCAACTTGAGAATAAACATACACACAGGGCAGAAAGAGCTAAACCATATTTTAAAAACATCTTCTATGTTTCAAGCTGCCAAGAGTCTAAAGTTAATATCCTCATTCACTCAGATGTTTAGATTCTTACCATTTCAAGCTTGAAATCTTTCCGCTTTAAAACAAAAACCTACTTGACTTGCACTTATTCATGCATAGGAGATCTGTCCAATTAGAGGACCCCCCACTCCCAGGTTCCAGAGGCTCACCAGTAAGACAGTTGCAGCCTCTGGACCCTGCTCATTTTCCCAAAGTGTGGGAAGGTTGCTCCTGCTAAAGCAGCAAGAATCTTTGCATGAAACTGAACCCAGAGTTTGTCGAAAAACAGAGTGAATTTTTTTACCTGTGCCTATTGGCTTCCTTGGTTTTTTTTTTTTTTTTTTTCTATCACAGTGATTTAAAAATATGAATTTTCAGACCTGGGTGCTCACTTTGGCAGCACATATACTAAAATTGGAAGAATATAGAGAAGATTAGCATGGCCCCTGTGCAAGGATAAGACATAACTTCATCAAGCATTCTGTATTTTTGACAATATCCAGCATCCTTTCATGATAAAAACACTCAAGAAAATAAGCTTAAGTGGAACATTCCTTAAGCTGATAGAGGCTATCTACAGCAAACCCACAACAGATATCATATTGAAAGGAATAAAACTCAAAGCATTTCCACTCAAATCTGCAACTAGACAAGGAGAACTATCCAATCACCTTACTCACCAACTGCCTTAATCGGCCACTGTCTTAACTGCCCACTGTCGCCACTGCTATTTAACATACTGTTGGAAGTCCTAACCATCCAGGTAAGAGAAGGTAAGAGAAGGAGAACAAAGGAATCCAAATGGGGACAGAGTAGGCCAAACTCTCCCTCTTCACAGATGACACAATCTTATACCTAGAAAACCCCAGAGACTCAACTACAAAGTTCTTAGAAGTTACCAGAAACATAGCAGCATCTCAGGATACAAAATCAATACCCACAAATCAGTAGCCTTCGTATATGCCTACAATCTTCAAACCGAGAATAAAATGAAAGACTCTATTCCTTTTACAATAGCACCAAAGAAGATGAAATACCTAGAAATATATCTAACAAAGACGTGAAAGAACTCTATAAAGAGAATTATGAAACTTTGAGAAAGGAAATAGCAGATGTCAAGAAATGAAAGAACATACCATGCTCATGGCTGGGAAGAATCAACATCGTTAAAATGTTCATACTACCCAAAGCAATGTGTAGATTTAACGCAATCCCCATCAAAGCACCAATGTCATAATTTAAAGAACGTGAAAAAATAGTACTTCCATTCATATGGAACCAGAAAAAAACCCTAAATGGAAAATTTAGTTCTTAGAAATAAAAACAAATCTAGAGTCATCATGTTGCCAGATTTCAGGTTATATTACAAGGCTACAGTGATCAAAATAACAATGGTACTAGCACAAAAATAGAGATGGAATAGGATAGAGAATCTAGAGATGACTCAACCATATATGGTCATTTAATGTTTAATAAGCCTAACAAGGCTCGGCGCCTATAGCTCAACTGGCTAAGACACCAGCCACGTACACCTAAGGTGGCGGGTTCGAATCCCCAGCCCGGACCTGCTAAATAACAATGACAGCTGCAACCAAAAAATGGCCAGGAGTTGTGGCGGGCGCCTGTGGTCCCAGCTACTTGGGAGGCGGAGGCAGGAGACTCGCTTGAGCCCAGGAGTTGGAGGTTGCTGTGAGCTGTAATGCCATGGCACTCTACCCAGGGGGACAGCTTGAGGCTCTGTCTCAAAAAAAAAAAAAAAAAAAAAAAAAAAGGATTAAGCCTAACAAAAACATGCATTGGGGAAAAGAATTCTTATTTGACAAATGGTGTTGGGAGATGTGGGTATCCACATGTGGAAGATTGAAATTGGACCTGCACCTCGCACCATTGACAAGAAAATGATTCTCATTGGGTAAAAAATTTAAACCTAAGATATGAAACAACAAAAAATTGTAGAAGAGGGTGTGGGGAAAAAACTTGAAGATATTGGCCTGGGGGGGGGGAAATTTATAAGAGAGACTGCCCCCTAGCAATTTCAGTAACACCAAAAATAAATAGCTGGGATTTGATCAAGATAAAAAGCTTTTTTTTTGTTTTTACAATATTGGCCTTTTAAAAATTTCTTTTATTAAATCATAGCAGTGTACATTAATACTATCATGGGGTACAGTGTACTGTTTTGTATACAATTTGAAATACTTTAATCCAACTTGTTAACATAGCCTTTGTGTCTTTTTCTTAGTTATTCTGTTAAGACATTTATGTTCTACATTTAGAGAGATTCACATGTACTCTTATAGGATGAACCATAGGCATGAACCCACAAATCACCCGCCCTACACCCATGCTCCTCCCTCCCCTTCCCTCCCTCTCTCCTCTCCCCATATTCCTGGGCTAAAATTGGGTTGCAGCTTTCCTATGAAAGCTATAAATTAGTTTCATAGTAGGCCTGAGTACATTGGATAATTTTTCTTCCATTCTTGGGATACTTTGCTAAGAAGAACATTTTCCAACTCCATCCATGTAAACATGAAGTAGGTAAAGTCTCTATCTTTCTTTAGGGCTGCATAGTATTCCATGGTGTACATATAACACAATTTATTGATCCATTTGTGGATCTATGGGCTCTTAGGCTTCTTCCATGACCTAGCAATTATGAATTGGGCTGCAATAAACATTCTGATACAAATATCTTTATTGTAGTGTGATTTTTGGACTTCTGGACATATACCTAATGGAGGAATTATAGGATCAAATGGCAGGTCTATTTTTAGTTCTCTAAGTGTTCTCCAGATGTCTTTCCAAAAGGAACGTATTACTTTGCAATTCCACCAGCAGTGTAGAAGAGTTCCCTTTTTTCCACAAATATGCCAGCATCTGTGATTTTGGGATTTTCTGATATGGGCTAATCGTACTGGGGTTAGGTGGTACCTCAAAGTAGTTTTGATTTGCATTTCTCTGATGACTAAGGATGAAGCGCATTTTTTCATATATTTTTAGGCCATATGCCTCCCTTCTTCAGAGAAATTTCTCTTCAAGTCCCTTGCCCACCCTGAGAGGGGATCACTGTTTTTTTCCTTGCTAATATGTTTGAGTTCTCTGTGGATTCTGGTTATTAAACCTTTGTCAGAAACATAACCAGCAAATATCTTCTCCCATTCTAAGGGCTGTCTACTTGCTTTACTTACTGTGCTTTTGGCTGTGCAGAAGCTTTTTAATTTGATGAGGTCCCAGTAGTGTATTTTTGATGTTGCTTCAATTGCCTGGGGTGTCCACCTCAAAAAATCTTTGCCCAGGCTGATTTCTTCAAGTGTTTTCTCTACACTTTCTTCTAGTATTTTTATGGTTTCATGTCTTAAGTTTAAATCTTTAATCTAGTGAGAGTCAATCTTATTTAGTGGTGAAAGGTGTGGATCCAGTTTCAGTCTTCTACAGGTTGCCAGCCAGTTCACCCAGCACCGTTTGTTAAATAAGGAATCTTTTCACCACTCAATGTTTTTAATTGGCTTGTCAAAGATCAGGTACTGGTAAGTAGTTGGATTCATCTGTTGGCTTTCTATTCTGTTCCATACATCTACCTGTCTATTTGTGTGCTAATGGCATGCTGTTTGATCACTATGGATTTATAGTATAGTCTGATGTCTGGTAGCATGATTTCTCCTGCTTTGTTTTTATTTCTGAGTAATGTCGTGGCTATTCGAGGTTTTCTGATTCCATATAAAATGAAGTATTATTTTTTCTAGATCTTTAAAGTATGACAATGGAAATTTAACAGGGATTGCATTAAAATTATATATTGCTTTGGGTAGTATGGACATTTTAACAATGTTGATTCTTCCCAGCCATGAGAATGGTATGTTTTTCCATTTGTTAACATTTTCAGCTATTTCTTTTCTTAGAGTTTCATAGTTCTCTTTATAAAGTTATTTCACTTCAATAAAAAAAAATAAAAAAATAGTTATTTCACATCCTTTGATAGGTAAACTCCCAGAAATTTCATCTTCTATGGCACTACTGTGAACGGAATAGAGTTCTTCACTATTTTTTCAGCTTGAATTTTGTTAGTATATATAAAGGCTACTGATTTATGAGTGTTGATTTTGTAACCTGAGATGCTGCTGTATACCTTGATCACTTCTAAGGTTTTGTAGTAGAATCCCTGGTATTTTCCAGGTATAAAATCATGTCATCTGTGAAGAGGCAAAGTTTAATCTCTTCTGAACCTATATGGATGCCCTTGATTGCCTTTTCTTCACTAATTGCGATGGCTAAAACTTCCATTGCAATGCTAAAGAGCAATGGAAACAATGGGCAATCTTGCCTCCTTCCTGATTGGAGTGGAAATGATTTCAATTTAACTCCATTCACTATGATATTGGCTGCGGGTTTGCTGTATATGGCCTCTATCAATTTGACAAATGTCCCTACTATGCCAATTTTCTTAAGTGTTCTGATCATGAATGGATGTTGGATATTATCAAAAGCTTTTTCTGCATCAATT